ACGAACTTATGGAACAACCTCATAATTTCTCTAAACCCCCATAGTAAAATATTAGCGTACTAGAAGCTAATGGTTTTTACTCCAACTCATTGAAGATCAAAAACCGTAGTGTGTTGGAACCGGCGGAGAGAGCTCCAAGTTTCGTGACAGTAGTGGGTGTTATGTAACAGCTGTGACGATTGACCGTACCCAATTACAAAACACAACACACTTTCGTAATTAACCATTTATTTGCATCTATATACAAAATGATGATTGGCAATGAGCCAATCAATATACAAAAGGTGCTAGAATCTACTACTGTAGATTCTAGGCTTTAACCAAGCTAGGGAACGGGGACTGTCCGCAATTCACCTGCCATCTTGTACAATGAACCAGCTGTGACGATTGACCGTACCCAATTACATGACACAACACACTATTCGTAATTAACCATTTATTGCATATTATATACAAAATGATGATTGGCAATGAGCCAATCAATATATACAAAAGGTGCTAGAATCTACTACTGTAGATTCTAGGCTTCAACCAAGCTAGGGAACGGGGACTGTCCGCAATTCACCTGCCATCTTGTACGATTGAACCATCTTCTCGCTGAGGATGTTCAACGTACACTTCCTTCTGAACACAGAAGGGCGACCATCGCGTGAGCCACGCTTAGGCCAACGTGCATCTGTAGTCGTCTTGTACGAACTACTGCACAACTACTTTCCACACGGGGAAAGATCCACTCTTCAACAAGTGAAGAGAACGAAGCTCGCATCGGGCGACGCTTCGGAGTCAGGGGGAGCCCTCTATCACGTGCCTAATCGTCCGCAACGATCTCGGGAAACTCCCCTCTCGTTTTCCGAGAGAGACCGATCTGCTCACATCCCGTGAGCTCGGCAAAACTCCAGACTGACTGATCAGCTCGATCAGAAGACGGATCGACAGTAGATGGGGGCGTGGCTTAGGTTTACGACCATGTGAGAGAATCTCAAGTACCTAAGGTTACACCTAGGGATACTAGTCTGCACCTGCATGCACTTTTACAACCTGCACGCGGCCCCATCTCAATCCGAGATATTACTCACAAGTTATCTAAACTTGGATGATACAGTAAAACTGACTAAGGTTACCCATATACTACAAGTGGACTATCCTTTTGCCTGGTTCAGATCATGATCACGACTGGGTAGCTATCCGAAGTGGTCATCTTGTGGTGACTAGCTTTGCAGGATCATCTTGACAAGCTTTCTTTTCTTAGGAAGTTTTTGATTTGAGCCCTCTTGCTCCTGCTGATTAATGATCCCTGTTAGCAGTGGAAATCATTCGGAGTTTTTTCTTCCAGAACTGAATATATGAACATTTACGCGTCGCTTTGTACTGGTTTCACTTTGAAAATTTCTCGCTTCCATCTTCCATCTCTAGGCAGCTCCTTCTTCAAAAACATCTTTAAAAATATTTCCTCTGTTTTTGCTGGTTCAGAACATTCGAGGAGTTCATGCAGTCCGCATGAGCAAAGGACGTTTTGCCATAAAATATTGAGTCTAAAAGCTTGAAAGAGCGAAAAACATTCCAACGAAGCACATCCACACGCAATACGGCGTTCAATCATAAGTCTGATATCCGCCGAGCAGCCTGAGCGTAGATGTATAATTAATGTATGTGCAATGGCAGGAAGCTGGTGTAGAGTCTTGGAGCTATGTTGTGGCTAGTGACGTGCAATAGGAAGATGCAAGAAAGCACCAGCACTCCTTGCACATTGCAAAACTGACATGTTTTCTTTGCTGTGCGGAACGTTATTTGATGCTGTTTTGAAGCAAATCGTCGGTTTTGTGCAAGCAATTTTTCAGGTCGCCAGCAGTTGTAACAATTCCACCGTTTTCTAGATAAGCAATTTCAGAAATGCAACTTTTTCCAAATCTCGTTTCGAGGATGAAGCTTGATCTTCACATCCAAAGCTTATTTAGTGTTCAAAAATTCCTTTTTCTTTGCGGACTGCATTAGCCCATGTCCATGGTGATGAAACTTTCGCTTTCATGGAGTACTGCTTTTGTTGTGTCCTATTATTTTGCATTAATAGCTGTATCGGACTTTTCGTAAGGTTCGTTTTTTCGTGAGGTTTGATTTTCTTCTTCATATCTAAATTTACGGTTGGATCCTTGGATTGCGTGCTTCTGTACGTTGCTGTGCTCCTCTTTTCTGTCGCTGAATGTCGCTTCTCGTTCTTTGCAGCATTTGTATTACTAACCTGCACGTTTCTTCTTGAAGGGATACTTAAGATGTTGTTCGGCTTCCTACGATGTTCTCTTGCACCATTTTATAACGCATTTGCTACCGACAACTTCTTAACTGCTGATCCTATGTTTCTTAGGGAAAAATTTCGCTAGCGCTTTTCCTGTGTCATGCAGTTGTCTACTGATGAACCATGCCTTGCAAATGATTTCTATTGGTAAATGTAAAAAAAGTGTAATGTAAAAGTAAAAAGGAATCCTTGCGCAACATCTCAAAGGGCATTTTGGACAAGGGCTGCAGAAGCTTGCGACAGCCGTAGTGAGATGTATAACACAGCACGCAAAGGAAACGGAATTTTTGAGCAGACTAAAAAAGATTTGGAAGTGAATAGCAAGCTTTTAAGAGATGCAGAAAGCTGCATTTCTGAAATTGCTTACCTAGAAAGCGGAGGGATTGCTACAACTGCTGCGCGACCTGATAAACTGCATGCACAAAACGCATGACTTGCTTCAAAACAGCATCAAATAATGTTCCACGCAACAAAAAGAACATAGAAAAGATGCTATAGTGAAAAACATATGGGACGGTAGCAAAGTACCCTTAACTCGCAATCAGAAGTAACGATCGGAGATTCTAAGCAAAGAATAAAGAATGGAGAGTGCGATCCAGCCCAGATCAAGCAAGAGCTTCCTACTTTAGATTTCAGACGACAAAATATCAGGAAAGCGAATAAATAATAAAAAAGAAAAAAAAGGTTGCAAAAGTACCTGAAGATATGGATCGCAGTTGCATTCTTTGATTCCTAACAGGTTGGTCCTGACACGTATGACCCTCCAGTAAAAAGTACTCCGAAGTACTTTTTACTGGAGGGTCATACGTGTCAGACGTGGTGACTGCGCCTCTTCAATCCCGTGCTCTTTTTTCTTCTCTGACCAGCTCAACCTGTTAGGAATCAAAGAATGCAGCTGCGATCCATAATCTTCAGGTACTTTTGCAACCTTTTTTTTCTTATTTATTCGTTTCCTGATATTTTGTCGTCTGAAATCTAAAGTAGGAAGCTCTTGCTTGATCTGGGCTGGATCGCACTCTCCATTCTTTATTCTTTGCTTAGAATCTCCGATCGTTACTTCTGATTGCGAGTTAAGGGTACTTTGCTACCGTCCCTGAAAGGAAAAAGGTGAAATGATAATCGAAGGAAATGTCACTCCACATGCAAAAGAACGGCGATTGCAGCACTACTTGGAAAAAGGCATGCACAAAAGCGACACGTCCTCGAAATAGCATCAAATAGTTCCATATAAACTAGGAAAAGATGAAAAGGGGCTGTAGTAAAGAACAAGTCAAAAGAAAAAAGTATATTTAAAAATAAATAAAAACACCTTTCGATACTGGCAGGTCCATTTAAAATGCGTTGTTCGTAGAATGCAAGCTTCATAGCAGTGTCAAAAATTGTTCTTGACAATGAAAAGAACACGTGAATGATACTGCTATGAAAGCTGCATGCAACGCAAGAAAAAAAACTAGAAGGGAGCACAGACAATCATGGAAGGTGCAAAACCCAAACTACACTACGACATTTGCGAAAAATCATGCAAATAACACGCAAAACAATATACTTTTTGGTGGAACTGACTTATGGTCAGCTGTTCCTTGAATAACTAGAATAGCGCCAGAGAATACTAGAATACAGAAGAACGTGCGAGGTGCTATCTTAGTTGGGGAGATTCCACGCGGCGGCGCTCTGTTCGTCTCTCCTGCAAGGCTTAGTCCTCGATGGCGCGTATTTCGAAACTGCCACGTGATGGCGAAATAGTAACTGCCCCTGGGACTAAGCCTTTGGAGGAGCAGACGAACAGAGCGCCGCGCCGCCGCGTGGTCCCCTCCCCCACTAAGATAGCACCACGTCCGAATAATAATAAATCAACGAATATAAATCAGCTGTTTGCTGCGACAACTATCAGGTTTGTGCAGTCCGCAATCACACATACGGCTCCGCCCACCCTGGATATGAACTGTCCCTAGATTTCTGTTGAACAGTCTTTTCATTGAAAAGTCTGTCTTTAAGCGCTGGTGCATGCATCCCCTTGCCTCATTTTTTTGCTTTTCATATATTTGCTACTTGATGCTTCTCGCTCTTTTTTAGGGTTCTTGCAATTATTCCCAAAAATATTTCAGTAACGTGTTATTCTTACAACGATGTTTTAGGCAAACGATTTCGACTTCAACCGTCGTAGCATTGCCCTGTCAACTGGTAGGAGAATGCGATACAGTAAGCTTGTGCTTGCTCCAGGAGTTGTGCCAAAGAAGCTGAACATTCCAGGAGCTCGACTCAAAGTAACTACAAGCTCACCTTCGAAATTTTCCCTAAAGCCTTCCCAAGATACTGAGATTTCAATTAGTTCTAACAGCTTTGGACTTTCTTCGTGGATTTAATGGTGAAATGAGAAGCTCTTGTTCTTGATTGCGGAAACCTTCGAAATGTTTATTATATTGACTCTCTTGACTCCAAGCAGTCCATTATAAAAAGAACGGGAGTCCAGCCTTTCACCTATCGAAGCCGCTATGTGTGTTCAACTGCGTGATTTTGTTATGATGTCCGTTCTGTAGAACCGACCTCTATCTGAATTTTCCCTTGCTGCTCAGAGCCCAAATTTTCGAACAATACCACAAAATCCAATCTCAACGTGATTATAGGATTTTTCATAACAATAGCAGTTTTTAACTAGAGATTTTTTAAATTATGCTGTAATTGTGGTATGAGCTCATTTCTGCAATTGCAGAACGTTTTCTACCTCCGTGTGGCGTCTGAAGCAAACTCTATCTCTACCAACTCCAAAGGAAAACATGTGGTCTGCATCGGTGGCTCTTTTATAGGTACATCTGATTGCTATTGCTATCTACCGCTACTAGCTCGCCATTAGGTTTAGGGTATCGACGTGGTAACAGATAATTTGAGTGCTGTTCAATTAAAGGCAGAATTTACGATGAAAATTTAGCTAGCTTATTGGAAATAAGGGTAGAGGTGGTCAGTGGAGCAGGGATGAAGAAGAAACCATTTGAAACGGCCCGAAACCCGAGAAATGGGACCCCTTCCTTGCCCGTTGATTTGCGCATTGATGCGACTCTCATCGCTGTGCCCTCTTCAATGCTACGTCTGCGGCTAGTGATTAGATAGTCGGTGGGCGTACCCCGCCAACCGCGCCAAGAGTGAGCCATGCTAGATCGCCGAGGTCAAATCTTTCGCTGCCAATTGCGCGTCGGTCAGCACCCTCAGGAGGTCCGCCTGTCTCCCAACTATGCAATTTTCCCTTTCTTTGACCTTTCGTTCGTATCGTGAATTTCTCCTTTAACTGGACATCACGTGCTCCAGATCCTGGCCTTGTTTTCACAGTCGGAAAGGGAAGGTTCTTTAGCATTTTGTGCGAAGATGACAGCTTGACAATGGTTATTCAGGAATGGAGATCGCTTCGGCGCTAGTATTGACTGCTGCATCAGTTACCGTCGTCTGTTTGACTGAAGAACCCTTACCAGCACTGGGAATAGATATCGGTGCTGCAGTCAGGAAGGTGGACTTCTAACTACCAAAAATATAGAAACCAATTGTATAGAATCTAGTGAAAAGTTTGATAGCTTGACCGATATTCTTCAGAAATTTGAAGCAAAAGGAGTCAAAATACTGGTGAACGCCTCAGCTAAGTCGTTCCAAGGTAGTGATCACGTGAGCGGTGTCGTGCTGAAATCAGGTGAAACGTTGGATGCCGACGTGGTCGTCGTTGGGATCGGTAATATCTTTTTTTTCTCTAAAAAGTAAAACTAGATTGGTTAGAATGGAGTTTGAACTTACAGACGTGCCCCAGGATCAAATTGATGTGGTTCTTGCACACAAACATGAATGTATTGGTGCGACTTTGGCCGCAGGCAGGGTAATTTCGTCGAGGACGTGGTCACAGAAGTACGACCCCTGAAATCGAGGTCTTGGCACGACCCCCCTAAAACAGAGCATACGCAATTAATCAATTAATTAATCAAAAAAATTTCCTGCAAAATAATATTGTAAACGCCTTCTCTTGTCATCTATGCACTTTCTTCGCTGCACACTTTTGTGTATTTGCTGAAATATAGCCTCGAGGAAAGCGACATTAAAGGCATGAGTCGGGATTGAATTGATGCGTTATTTTGTTCAAACATTAGGCAAGGGGTGCAATGAGGAACATTAGTGAGGAGAAAAAGCAAAAAGCACCATAGAAAACACTAAATTTCCCTTAGGAGGCCGGCCGTAGTACGACGGAGAGACACAGCGCTGCGAGGAGAGGGAGAACGCGAGATAGTACGTCGTACGCGAGAGGACGCAGAGACCACGTATGCCGTGGTTGATACGCTGGCAGCACGGCAGCACACAAGGCAAGGCCTTAGCGCCGTTGCCTCGCACTTTTGAGTCGCGATAGTGTCGCGCCCTCAGTGCTTGGGGAGCCCACTATCGCACCCTGGGATGAACTTCTGCTGGTTGCCTAATTCTGACCCGTAGCTTTAAATTTGTCGGATTTGAAAGGGTTCCTTCAGAAATGCACAGAAGTTTTGGAGGCACGGGGTTGCGATTTAATCTTAATTCCTGTTTGAGTATAACGAAACAA